TTAATGTTCGTCTGATGCGAGCTATGATATTACACCATGACCAGGAGATGGAGCATAAACTTTATGTTACTCAGGCCAATGGTTTAGATAAGAAAGTCCAATCCATAGAAGAAAAATGCGACACACTCCAAAAGAAGCTAGATGCCATTGAGGGGGAGAAAATCTAATATAAAAACACGTGCAAAAGTGTTGAGAATTATGCTAGTGCAAAAGCTACTATATTGGCAAATATTAGGAGGCCAAGTGGCCATTCCCTTGACCCGTACTAATAGCAGATAGATTTTTGAACCTATCCTTTTGAGCATTAGATACTTGCTTTCCTAAACAAAAAATTTCAAACATTTTCTTTTCACTTTCAATTATTATTGTGGTATTCATCACAAAAGCCTTTGGGGTTGCTTTCCTTAGAGCACTGAGGTAACATTCTCGTGCAACTGCTTGATTAATCCTGACTATGGCTATACCCTTTGGAGTTTCAAATTTTATGCATAGGTAATGAATGGAGGTCACTGCCTTTAACCGTTTTAGGGCGAGCCTTCCTAGTATCCCGTTGTATGCAAACCTATTGTCCATAATTAGAAAGTCCATATACCCTAGAACACATTTGGCTCTTCTCCTATTTCTATTGCCAAAGTAATCTATCCCCTTAGGATCAAAACGTCCCCAGTAAAAACATAAAGGGGTTCAACCAAAGATACCCATGAGTGATCTACATGCATTTTGTTAAAATCACTTCCAAACAAAATATTTACAGAGCTACCATTATCCACCAGTATGTGGCTAAGGTTGTAACGAACTATAATACCCCGCATTATCAATGCAATGCAGTGGGAATATATGATCCCATTCTCATCATCACTATTGAAGGTAATTGGATGATATGTAGTTTTAAGATTACCTAGAATCCAAAAGTTTCTAGCGTGGACCTCTTAGCAACTCGGGTACAATTCCTCTGTACATTCATTGTGTCCCTTCCAGCATAGGGTCCTCCAACTATAGTATGGATCTCTCTCACTGGAGGTCGGGAGTATGGATTTTTTGTCGATGCTCAAAATGAGTTCGCATGCCTTGGTTTACTTCGACGACCTCGCCCTCTACCACTTGGGTATGGAGGCTTTCGATTTTCAAATCATGCACGTGTCCCTCCTTATTAACTTTTCAACTTCACCATCCTGATTACCTCGAAGCATTCATTAGTGTCATGATCCCGGCTACAATATATCTTGTATAATTTTTACCTTTTAGTTTTTAGGGGACGGATGTGCTTCGCTTGCCATATGTGAGAGAGCTAGAGAGATTGCATGCACTTCGACTTTGTACTCTTTGAAAGCTAGAGAGATCACATGTAGTTTCTAGGGTACTGATGTTTAAGTATTCTGGGTGCATATGCCGAAACTTTTCCATTGAGAGCTCGTTGATCGTTTGATTTTCTGTAAGTGAAAGGGATCGTGAACAAGTAATAAAGTAGTAAATAGAGTGTCAAACCCATGAGTACTACGTGTTTGATCGAGTTAACATTAATTCCAACTTTAATTGAATGGCAAACAAATTTTGTGATATTTTTTATATTAATCCCTAAATTATCAATTAAATTAATGAAAGTAAATGTATTTTTATTCAAATATGTGAAAGTATTGCTAAGATGTCGAATCCCCTTTGTTAATCCATTTTTAGTGTAACAATTAAAATGACAATTTGAAATCATTTATACTGGTTAATGCTCTTAATTTAATTGAAAGCCTCTCTTGATAGCGATCAAATTTATTCTCCTCATGGACCCTTCTATCTCTCGATAAAAAATGCAAATATGATAAATGTATTAACAAGCATTAGAACACCTATTGAAATCATATGAAGCATAGAGGTATATCTCTATCCTCTATTGAATCTTGCTATGTTTATTATATTGTGCTTAAACCATATTACCTCTCTCTCGATAACAATAAAATTCACTAACAATTCAATTGATGATCAGGCAATTGAAAAGACCGATAAAAACGATAATAAACATCCATAAATAAAATCAAATTAAAGTCAAAATAATTAATAAAAAAACTAAAAATATCATAACAAGAGTTCATCTTATCCTAGCAATATATAAAACTAGCCTAACATATTGAAATTACAAGAAATCATATTTAAGTGAAAATGTATAACCCAAATTTTTGATAAATTGAGAAGATGAGGATGAAGATGAATATTGAATCTCTTCAATGGTTTCTTGATGAATCTCCACTCGTACCTTCTTTTCTTTGCCAAAAAATAAAGTTTGAATCTTCACTTGATTGAATTCTTGCAAGTCCCCTTCAATGATCTCACAAAAATTATGAATTTTCATCATTTGATGATAATAATTGATGAATATTTTAATATGAGATATATATGAGAGGTCTTCAATATGTGTTTTGCTATTAGGTATTGTAGGAATCAAAAATTGGTTAAAAATCACGTCCAAATTGACTTACAAAAGAATTCCAATCGAATAATGAAAGTTGCATGCGATGGATTTTTTTTTGTCTTTACATAGTAGTCAGTATTTTGATCATAACTTTTGTTCCTGATATCCAATTTAGGAGATTCAAATTAATTTAGAAAGATAAATTAAAGGGATACAATTTTGATAGAAATAGAATGTTCCCAATTTGAATGTTTACTATGCCAAAAATGGATCTCAATTTTCGACTAAAAATCTAGAATATAAGTTGTACGATTGAAAATTGGTTTTTGATCATATTCCATTCCTTTTTGAGTTCTAATTCCATCCAATTATCTCATAGCAATCTTTGAAGTATCGTCTTGTGGTTAGAATCAACTATTGAATATTTTTAATTTTGGTCCTCAAACTTTGAATTTTGCCATTTTCACCAATTTTCGCTTCTTTTTTTTCGATTCTCCATTCAACCATTGAGTTTTACCTATATGACATAAAATACAATAATTTAGGATATATTTTGTCAGAAGAACTATCAAATATCCTTATTTTAGACTTTGAATAAGTGTATAAAACACACTTATCAAATACTCCTAAACTTAAAATATTTGTTTGTCCTCAAACAAAATTATAACTTAAATAACAACAAACATATAAGCATGCAAAAATATTTGATTAAACAATCTATCTTTTATCTTAGTATTTGAAATTACAGTACTAAATCTATAAATTATTTGAAAGTTACAATGTCAAACCAATATCTATTCTTCCAATGCAAAACTGACGTGAAGAATTAAGTAGACAATCATGAATTTATAAGTTGCTTGAATTCTCGACCATATGTGGTAAAATATATCATTTCACCTCTTGTATGATTCACACATCCCCAAACTTGTTCTTTTTTCACTCTTTCCCAATGTTTAATCTATGCTTGAATTTTTCATTACTATCATCACCCTCTATAGTTCAGGTGAATTCTACTAATTGTAAGTCAACATATCAATAAATGAGGATTCTCAAATTCTTTGATTGTTTCAACCTCTAAGTCTAGACTAGACTAATAATCCATCATCAAAAGTCAAATCTTCTTAAATAAGTGTTTGTGGCTTAATCAGGGCATTTGGTGCTTCCTCTGTTTCATGCACTTTTTTTTTTTTATTTTTTTTTTTGCACTATCTCTCCCTTGACTTTTCTATATGACCCATATAACAAGTTTTTGGCTGATGACTCCCAAATTAGATGATCTTAGGGCATCGAGTTTTAAATAACCTAACAAGCATGATAACTCGAGTCATAAAGACTACGAAGAGATGTCTTTTATATAATTTTCTACCCTGATTAGTGCAATACCCCTCATTAAACACCTATTCAAGCAAACCAACCTCCAACTTAAGATTTTCACCAATTTTATCCTATTAATCTAAGACAATCCACAGATAAATTTTCACACAGTGAATCCCAATTTACATCCTTCTCTTCCTACAACCATAAAATCATTCTAAAACTATGCTAACTTTGGTCTAATGATCATTAATATATGATAGTTTTAGGTATAACATCTATGTTCAATCTATCAACCTATCCAACATATGAATCAACTCATAGCATCACATTCTCCAACTTAATTCTAGTGCATGTATAATATCAAGTTTTGCAAGGTTAAGTTTCAATCAGTCTATCATGCATCCTATCCACAGTTCATAAATCAATACCAAATCTCAAATTTAACCATCATTGTTGGCCAAATTATCTAACTAACACAAGCACACAACCTAAAACAATAAAATAATTTTTTGGTTGAAATTTTTCATTTTTTCATTTTTTGTGTTTTTCTATTATATATTAAAGTAATAACGAAGAACAAAACACTAACACTTAAAAACACACGAAAAATTAAACTCAAAATTTTTCCCACCCCAAACTTAAAATCGACATTGTCTTCAATGTCATAGAGTTTAAATAAAAATATAAGGGGACGGGGAAGAAAAGGAAGAATGTACTCCCCAAATTTTTCTGTTGAAAGTGTGAGATATTATATGTGATGGCTGGACAATCTTCTTCATCATGTTTTTCCCTTGGTCTATGTTGGTTTGAGTATTCCGCGACGTAATGTTCCTATACATAGCTGTCAAATCAAACATTAAAGATCAAATAACCTAGAACATGTGTTACTTAGCCCAAACAATCGAAATAACCAATAATAAATTCAATGGCCTAAGGGAAAACATGATAAGATGGTAATACCCTATAAATTAAAACATGCCTAAGTCTAATGCAAACTAATAATAAAAAAAAAAAAATCATATACAATGCGGCACAGAAAGCGGAATAAATAAGAGGGTTAGGAAATTGGGTTGCTTCCCAATAAGCACTTAATTTATAGTCTTTAGCTAAACTGTATGGATAAATTGGTCATGGTGGCTCATACTGGAATCTTTAGCCTTACATTTCTTACAATTTCTAGCTTTACATCCTCTTTTTTCCCTCCAAACCTTGTTCTCTCTATTCTAATCTCGAGTAGGCTCCCAGATGTTTAAATTTTATCTCATTGGACCATTGTTCAACTTCTTCAACAACATATTTGGCTTCCTCCAGGACTAATGGTTTCCTTGGGTAAATTATGTAATTTAAAGATCTCATGGGCGTCCTCCACCCTCACAATCAGCTCATCCTTCTCCATGTCAATTAAAATTCGACTTGTTGCTAAAAATGGTCGACCTATGATAATTGGCATATTGTGGTCGTCTTCGAGGTCCATAACAAGGAAGTCCGCGGGGAATATTAGCTTCCCAACCTTGATGAGCACATCCCCAACCTTGCCCCATGGATATCTGATGCTCCTATCTGCTAGCTGTAGCATCACATTCGATCATTAACTTTCCCTACTCCCAGTTTCCTAAAAGTAGATAAAGACTTTAAATTTACACTTGCACATGTATCACATAAAGCATTAAAATGAAAATGTTTGCCTAGTGAAATAGGTAAAGTAAAAATCCCTGGGTCTTTGAGTTTTGGTGGCAATTTATTTTGCAACCTTGCATTGCTTTCTTCGGTCAATGCCACTTCTTCTTAGTTTGGAAGCTTTCTTTTCTTATATATCATGTCCTTCAGGAACTTTGAGTTTTGGTGGCAATTTAATGTGGATCTTTTTTAGCATATCCAGGAATTTTTCAAATTGATCATCGAGCTTTCTCTTTTGCAGTCTTTGTGGAAACGGTAGTGGTTGCATAAATTCTTTAGTAGGAACGGTTTCCTTAACCTTTAGATTCTTTGATGCTCTTTCTATCTTTGCTTCTTTGTTCTACTCAGATTCCACCAATTGCTCCTCAACCGTGGAATATACATTATCTTTTGTAGCAACTGGCCTCTTTATATTAATCCCGACAGTTGAACTCCACTGCGAGTAATTATTGCCTCAATTCGTTCTTTCTCCAAGACCTTCACTGCCATTACCTACTTTTTAAGATTTCTCTTAGTGTCACTGGGCAATGCTCCTAGTAGTCTCTCTAAAAGTACTTTCGCTATTTGTTCCATCTGAATATCCAAATTCTTGATGGCAGCTCCCTGAACTTGCAAGGTTTTATATGTTCTTTGCATGTGTTTGGTAGATATCTCCGCCAATTTAGTAACAAGATCTTCTAACGATGATTTGTTTTCAATTTGCTGAAAACCTGGTTGTGCAATCTGCTGTGTGCAAGCTGAGCTTCCAGATTGATGCTCCATTGGAAACCTGGGTGATTCCTCCAGCATGGGTAGTAAGTGTTGGGATTTTTATTATATTGCTGTCTTTGAAAATTTTGAGCATAATTCACATTCTTTACTGACTGAGCTAAAGGACTACCGACGATGCAGTCAACACTCTCATGATTCCCTCTACAATGCTTGCATTTCAGTCTCATTGTTTAGGCTACGTTCATCTGATCCACCTTCTGTACCAATGATGTCAACTGCACTGAAATTGCTATTAAAGAATCAACTTCGAATACCCCAATAGCTCTCTTTCCACTCGTTCTTTCATTAGGCCAAAGTCTACTGGTGAATGCCAGATCCTCCGTGATTTGGTAGACTTGATCCGTGGTTCTTTTTATAGAATTTTCGTATACATAGTCTATGTTAGCCTTGCTTATTGGATTCAGACCAATGTAGAAATATTGCTCCCGAAGCCATTTCTGCAATCCATGTTGTAGGCATTGGCAGAGTAAACCCTTGTATCGTTTCCAAGCATACGAATAGCATTCTGAGTCCAGTTGTTGGAATGTGGTAATCTTGTCCCTCAACTTTGCAATCCTTTTCCGTGGAAAATATTTGCTAAGAAATTTCTGACTCGATTGGTTCCATATAGTGATGCACTGTGGTGGAAAAATGTCTAGCCACTCTGTGGCTGAGTCTTTCAATGTGTATGGGAAAAGCGTCAATCTAATAGCTTCACTGGACACCCCTTGATACTCGATTGTTGCACACATATCCAAAAATCTTGATGTATAAATGTTGGGATTCTCCGTAGCTCTTCCAAAGAATTGTAGTGCGTTTTGGAACATGTTGATCACATCAGTCCTCAGGTAGAAGTTTACCTGAACAAATGCCGGATATAATATACTGGACTGGCTTTCCACAACTAGTGGAACCATATATTCATCCATTAGCCTTGCATTTTCATCAGCTGCCGCCACATTCGATTGTGCTACTTCTAGATTAGGCCTTATGACTATTTGATTTGGATTTCCCTATGCAATATCTTTGTCTTTCTACTTTTGGTGTGTTTCTAACTATTGTCTTTTTCGAAGGTTGAATGTTTGTTCGATCTCCGGTCAAATTGAGAAGGATCATCGGTTGAACTTCGCATATAAGGTCTTGAAAAAGTAAGGAAGAAACACTATAATGTTATTTTTAATAAACTAAACTAAAAAAATAGCAAAATTCAGATTAGAGTTAAAATTAACTAAACGTCTCAAAAATAGTAGTCCCCGACAACTGCGCAAAAAATTGATCATTTGATTTCCCGCAAGTGAACGGAATCGTGAACAAGTAATAAAGTAATAAATAGAGTGTTGAACCCACGATGACTACTTACTCGATCGAGTTAAAATTAATTCCAACTTTAATCGAATAGCAAACAAATTTTGTGATTTTTTTTTATACTAACCCTAAATTATCGATTAAACTAATGAAAGTAAGTAAATGTATTTTTATTCAAATATGTGAAAGTATTGCTAAGATGTTGAATCCCCCTTATTAATCCATTTTTAGTGTAACAATTAAAATGACAATTTCAAATCATTTATGTTCGTTAATGCTCCTAATTTAACTGAAAGCCTTTCTTAATAGCGATCAAATCTATTCCCCTTATGTGATCTTTCTATCTCTCGAAAAAAGATGCAAACATAATTAATGCAATAACAGGCACTAAAACACCTATTGAAACCATATGAAGTATAGAGGTATATCTATATCCTTTATCGAACCTTACAATGTTTATTATATTGTGCTTAAACTCTATAGCCTCTCTCTATAACAATAAATCCACTAACAATTTAATTGGTGATCAAGCAATTGAAAAGACCGAAATAAACGATAATAAACATCCACAAATCAAGTCAAATTAAAGTCAAAATAATTATTTAAAAGCTAAAAATATCATAACAAAGGTTCATCTCATCCTGGCAAAGTATAAAACTAGCCAAACATATCGAAATTACAAGAAATTATATTTAAGTGAAAAGATATAACCTAAATTTTTGATAAATTGAGAAGGTGAAAGATGAATTTTGAAATCTCGAATCTCTTCAATGATTTCTTAATAAATCTTCACTTGCGCATTCTCTTCTTTGTCCAAAAATCAAGTTTGAATCTTCACATAATTGAATTCTTGAAAGTCCCCTTCAATTCTCGCACAAAAATTATGAATTTTCCTCATTTGATAATAATAATTGATAAATATTGGAGTATGAGATGTATATGAGAGGTCTCCAATATGTTTTACTATTAGGTATTTGTAGGAGTCGAAACTTGGTTGAAAATCACGTCCAAATTGACTTCCAAAAGAGTTCCAATCGAATAAGGAAAGTTGTATGCCTAAGATTTTTTTGTTTCTGCACAGCAGTCAGTATTTTGATCATCACTTTCATTCTTAATATCCAATTTATGAGATTCAAATTGATTTGGAAAGATAACTCAAAGGACTACAACTTTGATAGAAATATAATTTTCTCAAATAGGATGTTTATTATGCCAAATATAGGTCTCAATATTCGAATAAAAATCTAGAATATAAGTTGTACGATTGAAGATTGATTTTGATCATATTCCATTCCTTGTTAAGTTCTAATTCCATCCAATTTTCTCATAGCAATCATTGAAGTATCGTCTTGTGGTCCGAATAAAATATTGATTATTTCCAATTCGGTCCTCAAACTTTGATTTTTGTCATTTTTCACCTATTTTCGCTTCTTTCTTTCAATTCCTCATTCAACTATTGACTTTTACCTATATAACATAAAATACAATAATTTAGGATATATTTTGTCAAAAGAACTATCAAATATGGCTATTTTAGACTCCGAATAAGTGTATAAAATACACTTATCACCCATCCATACTATATCTTCTTTCTATTCTCTATTGTGACCTCAGTTTGAATTATGTTTTGTATTAAACTAACCTGCTACGGTGGAAATTTGGATTCTTGTTGAGGACATCCCGCTGAAGGGAGTTTCCATCAACAAACCGTTCTATAAGGCATCCCGAGCTTTTTCGCCAAATATAGTTTAGCAAGCGATCAGCTCAGTACTAAATTGCACAAAGTAGTTCTTATGGGATTTACCTTCCTCCCACCTCATATCATTTAGTCTTGTAGTCAGGGCTTATCTCATCTTACTACTTGCAAATGCTCCTAGGAAGGCTTGTTTCAACTGTGGCCATCTTCGAATTGACCTAAACAGTAGTTTGTTGTACCAATGCTTGGCAGATCCATCCAACGTCAGATGGAAAACCTAAAACTTGAGTGTAGGACCTGCTTTCTTCAGTCACTTCTACGTCGAATACTCGTACAAGTAGTACATATGATCACCTTTGTCACTATATTTCTCCATGATTGGACAGATTAAATTATTCGAAATTAGTTCCTTGCCATGCTCACTATCATCATCTAGCTCGTATGACCTTGGAAATGGATCCTCATATTCGTCATATAGAGAAATGTTATATGAGGTGTTGATGAGGCTCTCCATCCTTCTGCCAACATTTCTTTGGCAAACCTGTTCATGCATCGCCATTTATACTGCCTCCCTATACTGTCACAAGTTTTGACACTTGCTGATTGCAACTATAATTGTGGAAAGCGGTGTTAGCAAGATCCACTCATTTTCTCCGGACTCGCCATGCACACTGGCTTTCATGTTCTCAACATTTGCCCGCAGATATGCATTTTCTACTATTAACGCCCTTAGGCTCTCTATCATTTTCTATATGGTTTTAGCCGTAGACATCTTCTTTCACAAGTGACGACGCTGTGTGAGAGAGATGCTGACATGTACTCTTGCTGGAGTTTTTCTCTCATTACCTTTTAGGATTAGCATCGCTATGCACTGAACAGTTGCTACACTCTTCGTTTCAACCTTTAATGCTTTCATTTATTCTAGATTCTCCTCTGTTTAACTCATTTCCTCATATCTAAAGGATTTCTCAGCTACAACAGAGAATCTCATAGTTTACTCTGCTATAGATTTCCACAGATAAAGACAATTTGTTGACGATAGAAATCGAATTAACAAATTTCTCTTACCTAGTAAGGATTTTCACCTCCTAAATTCACTAGTTTTGATGTTCAAACTAGAGCAAGATGAGAAATGGCTATTTGGGAAGGAGACATTTGAATTTGCGCATCTTTTTCTACTAAGGTAGGGATATTTATAGATTTTCCTCTAGGTTTTGGGGTAATTCGGTCATTTAGAACAAATGACGGCCTCTTATTGGCTAGCTTGTAACTTATTCTATTAGTGTATCATGTTTTATTCGTTGGCTTAGTGTCTTAATAACGATTTTTAGCTTGCCTGGATGAGGGAAGGTGTCGGGAATAAGCAACCTAATGCGGACATCAATACACAGCATAAACAAGTTCTACAGCTCAGTAAACCAATGACAGAGTTCAATACCAATCCCGGAATCACCATTATACAATATGCAACCCAAACCTCTTTAAGCATAGCATAAAGTATCAGCAGAATTCAATATGTGTAATCAAGCATATACCAATGCATTTACAGATTACAGAAATCAGCATGATACAATCAAACCATATAAACTGAAAATGGAAACTTAACAGAATCTGAAATCATAAAATGACCGAGTAAAAACCGAGAGCAAGACTTAGAACAAAACCGAGAGGAACTTCCCTTTTTTTGGCCGAAATGTTTAGGCTCAGGAATAGCCTTCCATGCTATGTAAATCACCGTCCAGAGAGAGCTAGAGAATCGGCCAGAGCTTCTTCACACTTGGCTTGAATCATCGACCAAGAGGTCTACCAAAACCGCCAAGAATCTGTCCTTAAACTGACCAAAAACCACCGAGAAACACCAACATCACTTAGCCACTATTTCAGGCCTAAGTATACAAGGGTTTCTTCAATTAGATAGGCTAAGGATCAATTTAGGACCAAGAAAAAAGGAAGCCTGAAGAAAATGGAACCAACAGAGAAGAGAAACAGGGTCTTGCTTGGGAAGAGAGAAAAAAGTCTTGTCTTAGAAAATACAGAGAGACTAAGGCGTTTGAAAGAAGCATCCCAATTCAAAAAAGTCATGGTCTATGATAAAATATCACACAAGATTAAATCCTAGCCATTCAACTCATCCACGGGCCACTAATGACACAAGCCCAATAATATGAGAACCACATAATCTCACATTCTTTACCTTGGTTCTCATAACACACTTACTCTCTCGGTTGCGAATTTGCCCGTGTAAGGAATGTTCATCATCATCGCCCACTACCT